TCAGTGTGTTACCATGAGGTCAGCTCTGATATGTCTGCTCAGTGTGTTACCATGAGGTCAGCTCTGATATGTCTGCTCAGTGTGTTACCATGAGGTCAGCATGCGTCTGCTCGTACTTCCTGATCCAGGCTGCGTACTCTGTGTATCAGGTTCTACTTATCTGCTCTGTGGTTGACACTGGAGCTTTGCTTGGACGGCCACACAGACATAATAATATCTGCTCTCTCATCAACATTCAGCTGCAGCTAGAGTTAGCTCGACACTATATAATAATGTGCTAACAACATGCTAACCTGTCTCACTCTTTAATGTGTTTGTGTGCAGAGTGCTGGCGATGTGGAGAGCACCTTAAACATCATCAATGTGCTGGATGAACTTCTGTCAGCTGGTGAGCACTGAACTACAGGTCGTATAAAAAGTGCCTGTAATGACACCTACAAACAGAGGGGAGGCGCTGTGCAGGACAATGAGACAGCACACAGTACCACCTCAAATCAGAGGGAAACTTCTCAAAGTTCAGAAACAAAAAGCTTCATTATTTACATTTGAAATGCAGATTTGACCCTGACCCTGCACCTCTAAATCAGGGACTGTAGAGTTCAGAGATCTTTGAATGAAGAGCACTCAAAGGCTGATGGGTAAATCTGGCTTAGCAGTGATGCTAAGCTAACCTTTAGTGGTACTGTATTGGAAATGTTAGAGGTGTTCAAAGTTGAACTGCAATCAGCTGTTTGACAACAGATGTCAGGAAGCTGGAGGATCACAAGTCCTCCGTCTTCAGATGACGTGCTGTTTGAGTTTTCCGTTAGACTGTGAAGAAGCCAGTGTGTGTGTGTGTGTGTGTGTGTGTGTGTGTGTGTGTGTGTGTGTGTGTGTGTGTGTGTGTGTGTGTTCAGGTACAGACCGTCGTATCCTCTACATGATCAGGAAAGGAGGCAGTGAGGCTGCTGTCTCTGCTCTGGTGAACACACGGGACGCAGCCTTCACTCAAACTACAGCGTCCTGCTGCCTCTGCTGCACCTGCTAGTGAAAGTTGGTCACAGAGGTGAGGACACAACCTGAGCTCCGAGCCGCTTCACCTTTACAGTACTTATTGAAATGTGCACCTGTGTGTGTGTGTGTGTGTGTGTGTGTGTGTGTGTGTGCAGACCGGCGTATCGGTGTGAAGGCGGAGGACGCTGGAGCCGTGCTGCTGACTCTGAGTCTGCTCAGACACAACATCTCAAACCCAGGAGGGCTGCAGCCTGCCTCTGGGTCCTCCAGGTGTTCTCCTCCTCAGGTAAATAACAACAGAGGTCACTGAGAGGTCACTGAGAGATCCCTGAGAGGTCACTGAGAGGTCACTGAGAGGTCACTGAGCAACAAACATGTTTGAAAAGTGAAAGCAGACCTATCAGTGCAGTCTCAGGGACAAGACACAGACTGAGACACAGACTGAGACACAGTCTGAAACACAGACTGAGACTGAAACACAGACTGAGACACAGACTGAGACTGAAACACTGACTGAGACACAGACTGAAACACAGACTGAAACACAGACTGAAACACAGACTGAAACACAGACTGAGACACAGACTGAGACACAGACTGAGACACAGACTGAGACACAGACTGAGACTGAAACACAGACTGAGACACAGACTGAGACACAGTCTGAAACACAGATTGAAACACAGACTGAAACACAATTGAGACTGAAACACAGACTGAGACACAGACTGAGACTGAAACACAGACTGAAACACAGACTGAGACACAGACTGAGACACAGACTGAGACTGAAACACAGACTGAGACACAGACTGAGACACAGTCTGAAACACAGACTGAGACACAGACTGAAACACAGACTGAGACACAGACTGAAACACAGACTGAAACACAGACTGAAACACAGACTGAAACACAGACTGAAACACAGATTGAGACTGAAACACAGACTGAGACACAGACTGAAACACAGACTGAAACACAGACTGAAACACAGACTGAAACACAGATTGAGACTGAACACAGACTGAAACACAGACTGAAACACAGATTGAGACTGAAACACAGACTGAGACACAGACTGAAACACAGACTGAAACACAGACTGAAACACAGACTGAAACACAGACTGAGACTGAAACACAGACTGAAACACAGACTGAAACACAGACTGAAACACAGACTGAAACACAGATTGAGACTGAAACACAGACTGAAACACAGACTGAGACAGAAACACAGACTGAAACATAGACTGAAACACAGACTGAAACACAGACTGAAACACAGACTGAAACACAGACTGAAACACAGACTGAAACACAGACTGAGACTGAAACACAGACTGAAACACAGACTGAGACACAGACTGAGACTGAAACACAGACTGAAATACAGACTGAAACATAGATTGAGACACAGACTGAGACACAGACTGAAACACAGACTGAGACACAGACTGAAACACAGACTGAAACATAGACTGAGACCCAGACTGAAACACAGACTCAGAATGAAACACAGACTGAGACACAGACTGAAACACAGACTGAGACACAGACTGAAACATAGACTGAGACCCAGACTGAAACACAGACTCTCAGAAGAAACACAGACTGAGACACAGACTGAAACACAGACTGAGACACAGACTGAAACATAGACTGAGACACAGACAGACTGAACACAGACTGAGACACAGACTGAGACACAGACTGAAACACAGACTGAGACATAGACTGAGACACAGACTGAAACACAGACTGAAACACAGACTGAGACACAGAATGAAACACAAACTGAAACACAGACTGACACACAGACTGACACACAGACTGAGACACAGACTGAGACACAGACTGAAACACAGACTGAGACACAGACTGAAACACAGACTGAGACACAGACTGAGACACAGACTGAGACACAGACTGAGACACAGAATGAAACACAGACTGAGACACAGACTGAGACACAGACTGAGACACAGATAGACTGAAACACAGACTGAGACACAGACTGAAACACAGACTGAAACTCAGACTGAAACTCAGACTGAGACACAGACTGAAACACAGACTGAAACACAGAATGAACCACAGACTGAAACACAGACTGAAACACAGACTGAGACACAGACTGAAACACAGACTGAACCACAGACTGAAACACAGACTGAGACACAGACTGAGACACAGACAGACTGAAACACAGACTGAGACACAGACTGAAACACAGACTGAGACACAGACTGAGACACAGACTGAAACACAGACTGAAACACAGACTGAGACACAGACTGAAACAAAGATTGAGTGCAGACTTGAGATTTTAAAGAACTTTCTTTCACGTTCAAACACAGTTTCTTGTGTTTTTGTGTTTTTCGACAGTTTCCACAGCAAACCTGATCGGAGAAAACCACGGACTGGATGTGATCTACCGCCTGATCCCTCCGTACACCTCCAAACACCTGCACACCATCAAGTACGTTTACACCAGGCTTCCTCATTCACACGGACCAATCAACAAGCAGAATCTGTCTATCACAGGCAGCCTCTGATCACACAGTCAACACCTCCAAACTAGCCTGATTAGCTTAGCTTGTAGCAAGTCTCAGCTAATGTGCTAATGCATGATGGCCATTGGCTGACCCACGACAAGAAATCCAATCCAGAACCAGACCACAGACCCTGCTTCACTTTCCCTGGCCTGTTTATTTTTATTTTTGGCAGGTAACAGTTAGCATGTGTTGTGTTTAGTCCAACATTCACAACAATCTTCATCCTGATGAAGAACCGCTCCTGATCTCTCCTTTAATCTGGAGTCAGTGAGACTGTTTGATTTTGGATCATTATTCAGTCATTTGAGGAACAATTCTCTCTTTCTCTGTAAATAGCCTCAACAGGGGGCGCTAACAGCCACTCACAGCTGTGTGACAAAATGGTGGTCTGCTGAGAGTTGGTGGTATTTATACATATTATCTTTATAAGAGATGTAAAGAGCCAGATGACCCAGTCAGGGTTCATAAAAAGCAAGACCTGAACAGAATGAGCTGTGCAGCATCATGGTCCACACGTCTGATAGACCACATCTGAAGTTCACTGTGATTCTGCTGAAACCAGCGGTTAGCGACTTCCTCTTTTGTGTGGTGTTTATCTCTGTCATTCCTTTGTCCATAACATGTTGGAGACGAAGCAACGCAGTCCGCTATACAACGTTATAATAAGAAAATTTGCCTTCATGTAGTCCAACAGAATGACACAAAACATCAGCTCACTCGGACTCGCTGCGTAAAGAATACTTGAGGTCTGTTTGTGTTCACACAGCTCCTCCTGGACACATCAAGAGTTTTTCAAGAGATTTCTGAAAGTGTGAAAACATTTTTACACTCTGATATCCACAGGGGGCATCGTGAAGTCGAGGCAGGGTTTAGCATTTATCAAAGAGTCAGCTCAGGTGTGAAATGTGCACCGTCTCCATGGCAGCGTTATAACTTACAGGAAACATCATCATTAAAGTGTCTCAACACATCATCATTTCTCCTGAACGCATCAGCAGACGTCTTCTCAAGATCTCATGTCCTCCTCGTCTGTCTTTGTCACCGCTCATGGCATTTGGCTCGAATACCCAGAATCCTCCAGTATACCCAGCGGAGCATGCCAGGAGAACCAGGAGTACTGACCTCTCCGCTGGCTTCATGCCTGACATACCAGTTCCTAATGGGCCAGGACTGAACATGAACCTCCTGGGTGGTGTGAGGGGCTGTGACATCACAGATTTACGAGCTTTCTGTATCGTGTTCATGCGGGCGCCAGCTGTTAATTGTTCTAACACAATTAGAAGACTCCTGGTTCCATAGTTGAAATGGCAGCTGTTACTTTGGATAATTTGATAGAATTAGACAGCTGTGAGTTCCTGTCATGTCTGAGAGTTAGACCTGTCCGTCACTCTGATTTATCCAATTAGAGCTGAGAGACGGTCACTGCTGGTTGGCTGCAGCTCTGTCTGTCCTCTTCAGATCATTACAGACATGAGCTAATAAAGCTAATGAAGTTAATTCAGCAGATCAGTTTCACCTGTTGACCTATGATAACTTGATATAACCTCAGTCTGTGTGTCTTTAGTTCCAGGTGAATTGAGCAGGTCCTTCTGCAGTCTGAACAGCTCAGTAAGGTTTTTAAGAAGGCCTACTGCACATTCCTACAGATGAACACATTTTAAACTACAGTTGTTGTGTTGTAACACAGTTTGGAGACCCATTCTCCACTGCGCTGCGTCTCAGCTCCGTCTGAGGGTTAGGGTTAACCCAGAGCCCAACGCATCAATTTAGCACAGAACAGAACAAGCGAGACAGGAAGTCAGACACTGATACAACATTAAAACATCCTGTTAATTTTCAAAATAAAACACTCCATTTAACGGTTCAGAAAAACGACCATTTCTGTGTTTATAAGGTTTATAAAGAGTTTTATACCACATACATCGTATTATCTCACACTGTCCTGAGTTAGTTTGTTACTGCGGGAATTCCTTTGTCTCAGCACTGCAGCTGACGGCTGTGTTCTCCGTGTGCACAGAGCCATAACGGACAAGAGCAGACACGCAATGCACACGTATATGGAGGAAGTTCGGTGTGAGGTCAAGGTCCTCCCCTACGGTGGCCGGTAGGGGTCAAACGCTCAGCAACTGATGAAGCGACATACATATAGAAAAACGTGGAGAATATATAGAAACGTTGCACATTCAAAAGCAAATGCAAACTACCACAACAAATGCAAAGACTGAAACGCGCTGCAAAGACACAAACGCACTGCAAACGAAACAAACGTGCTGCAAAGACACAAACAGGCTGCAAACGAAACAAACGTGCTGCAAAGACACAAACGCGCTGCAAAGACACAAACGTGCTGCAAAGACACAAACGTGCTGCAAAGACACAAACGTGCTGCAAAGACACAAACGCGCTGCAAAGACACAAACAGGCTGCAAAGACACAAACGTGCTGCAAAGACACAAACAGGCTGCAAACGAAACAAACGTGCTGCAAAGACACAAACGCGCTGCAAAGACACAAACAGGCTGCAAAGACACAAACGTGCTGCAAAGACACAAACAGGCTGCAAACGAAACAAACGTGCTGCAAAGACACAAACGTGCTGCAAAGACACAAACAGGCTGCAAAGACACAAACGTGCTGCAAAGACACAAACAGGCTGCAAAGACACAAACGTGCTGCAAAGACACAAACAGGCTGCAAACGAAACAAACGTGCTGCAAAGACACAAACAGGCTGCAAAGACACAAACGTGCTGCAAAGACACAAACAGGCTGCAAAGACACAAACGTGCTGCAAAGACACAAACAGGCTGCAAACGAAACAAACGTGCTGCAAAGACACAAACGTGCTGCAAAGACACAAACAGGCTGCAAACGAAACAAACGTGCTGCAAAGACACAAACGCGCTGCAAAGACACAAACGTGCTGCAAAGACACAAACGTGCTGCAAAGACACAAACAGGCTGCAAACGAAACAAACGTGCTGCAAAGACACAAACGCGCTGCAAAGACACAAACGCGCTGCAAAGACACAAACGCGCTGCAAATAGGCAAAACAACTGCATAAGCATCAAACGCGCTGCAAGTACAGAAACAAAACTTAAGTTTTGCAAACACAGAAACGCTGCAAGTTAATCTTAAATGGATGTGCTCCAGGCCTGTAGGGGCGCTGTGTTTATGTCGGTTTATTTACGGGATAGAGTAAGAGAGACAGCTAGGAACAGAAACTTATGTTTAGATAGGGAAGTTGTATCATTAAAAGACACAGGATAACTTCAATGACATAGTGCTAGCTCTGGGGCTATGAGCTCCAACTCATCCCTCTGCACCCGCTTTACCAGCCTGACACTTCATGCTTTCACCATCCCCGGTGTCCGTGTTGAACTCACTACTCATCTCTTTGCTACAGTTTAACATTCTCCCTGTCATCAAACACTGACACGTGTTCTCAAGCCGGACAACAGTGCCGGTAGCCGGGCAGCCGACTTAGCAAAGCTACCGCTCAACAAGACCAATTTCTCAAACTTGTGTTTTTTCCCCTACATGTTATAAAGTCGTATTTGTTCACAATAGAAAGTGGGGCATAGCCCCGGCGATACGCTACTCAGGTGGTGTTTAGATAATAAATCTCAGAGGAGCAAGAACTTCTGGACCTGGTTGACCTTAATTCTCAATCAGTTCACTGTTAGCTTCTAACTAATAGCGGCGCTAACAGCTAAATGGTCGTCTGCTGAGAGTTGGTAACTGCGCCGCTCGAACTCTCCAGACATCAGGAAAACACTTCTACCTCTGTGTGCCTTCAAAATAAAAGAGGACTTTTTGTGTTTGTGTCTGAAGATCATCAGAGCTTTGAGAGTTAGACTCAGAGACGAGAGAGAGGGAGAACATAATGGACTGTGAGCCATGATCAGGGAAGAACTAACTGAGCCCTCTGCTTCTCTTCCAGGGCGGCCATTACTGCCTTTGCTGCTCTGCTCTCCACAAGTAAGTCTTCATCATCATCACCACCACCACCATCATCATCATCACAGCTTCATCACAGCATCATCAGTTGATGCTGACAATAAGAACTAAACTCAAATTAAACTAAACAAACAGAAGATGCAGAGAATGTGGACGCAGACATTACAATAAGTATGAGATGTAAACATGTATCCACACACAGAGACAAATATTATAACACTGTACATTAATTAGAAAATAAAGAAGTTTAAGTTATACAGAGTCTTTTAGGAGTCTCAGAGTCTCTGATGGAAAGAGTGATAAAGTTTCCACAATATCCAGACTTTATTATTTTAATGATGGAGGTCACGAGTCTCTAAAGGAATAAGACTGATTTATTAAATCTACAGAGATACACTGACAGGACGGTCTCTCTCTCTCCCCTGTCTGTCTCTCTCTCTCTCTCTCTGTCTCTCTGTCTCTCTCTCTCTCTCTCCCGTCTCCCGTCTCTCTCTCTCCTGTCTGTCTCTCTCTCTCTCTCTGTCTCTCTGTCTCTCTCTCTCTCTCTCCCGTCTCCCGTCTCTCTCTCTCCTGTCTGTCTCTCTCTCTCTCTCTGTCTCTCTCTCTCTCTCTCCCGTCTCCCGTCTCTCTCTCTCCTGTCTGTCTCTCTCTCTCTCTCTGTCTCTCTGTCTCTCTCTCTCTCTCTCCCGTCTCCCGTCTCTCTCTCCCCTGTCTGTCTCTCTCTCTGTCTCTCTGTCTCTCTCTCTCTCTCTCTCCCGTCTCTCTCTGTCTCTCTGTCTCTCTCTCTCTCTCTCTCTCTCTCCCGTCTCTCTCTCTCTCTCCTGTCTGTCTCTCTCTCTCACTCTCCCGTCTCTCTCTCTCACTCGCCCCTCCCTCTCTCTCTCTCCTGTCTGTCTCACAGAGGCTAACGTGTCGGTGGCGGTGTCTAAAGGTTACGTCTCTGGTCTCCTGCAGCTCTATGAGGACTGGTTCATGAACGACTGTCAGCATGAGGCCACAGTGATCTGCCATGCTCTCCTGCGCTGCCTCCATCAGGTCAGCCACAGTACTGCAGGCAGACAGGCTGTGTTTTCACAGGGAGGTCTCCGACTGCTCTATCAAACTACTCAGGTAGACCACCACCATGTTTTTATAGTCATAATATAATGTGCAGATGTTCATCAGGTGTGTGTTTATTACCTGTTCAGACGTGTGCGCTCAGTAAAGGTGACGAGTGTCTGCTGGAGGCGGCGGTGCAGCTCATGAGGAAGTGTCTCCCTAAAACTCCTCTGCCTCTGACCTCAGACTGCTCAGTGTACACCTTCACCCTGCCTGGAGGGTCACATGATACACCTGAGATCAACATGGCTCCAGGTACAGTCTGGAGTAATAACTGATTAGACACAGATACAGAGATCAGTGTTCAGATCAGCTGATCCCGACCGCTCTGTCTGTCATGTTTGATGAATCAGCTTTACACTCAGGGAGGGCGAAGCCACCTGCCGGCTTCAGGACAGGACATTACACACAGAGCGGTACACACACACAGGACATTACACACACAGGACATTACACACACAGGACGTTACACACACAGAGCGTTACACACACAGGACGTTACACACAGGTCATTACGCACACAGGACATTACACACACAGAGCATTACACACAGGTCATTACACACACAGGACATTACACACACAGAGCGTTACACACACAGAGTGTTACACACAGGAAATTACACACACAGGACATTACACACACAGGACGTTACACACACAGAGCGTTACACACACAGAGTGTTACACACAGGTCATTACGCACACAGGACATTACACACACAGAGCATTACACACAGGTCATTACACACACAGGACATTACACACACAGGACATTACACACACAGAGAGCGTTACACACACAGAGCGTTACACACACACAGAGCGTTACACACACAGAGCGTTACACACACAGGGCGTTACACACACAGGACATTACACACACATGACGTTACACACACAGGGCGTTAGACACACAGAGCGTTACACACACAGAGCGTTACACACACAGGGCGTTACACACACACAGGACATTACACAGACAGGACATTACACACACAGTACGTTACACACACAGGGCGTTACACACACAGAGCGTTACACACACAGGACATTACACACACAGAGCGTTACACACACAGAGTGTTACACACAGGAAATTACACACACAGGACATTACACACACAGGACGTTACACACACAGAGCGTTACACACACAGAGTGTTACACACAGGTCATTACGCACACAGGACATTACACACACAGAGCATTACACACAGGTCATTACACACACAGGACATTACACACACAGAGCGTTACACACACAGGACGTTACACACACAGAGCGTTACACACACACAGAGCGTTACACACACAGAGCGTTACACACACAGGACATTACACACACATGACGTTACACACACACAGGACATTACACAGACAGGGCGTTACACACACAGTACGTTACACACACAGGGCGTTACACACACAGAGCGTTACACACACACAGAGCGTTACTCACACAGGATATTACACACACAGAGCGTTACACACACAGGGTGTTACACACACAGGACATTACACACACATGACGTTAAACACACAGGGCGTTAGACACACAGAGCGTTACACACACAGAGCGTTACACACACAGGGCGTTACACACACACAGGACATTACCCACACAGGGCGTTACACACACAGAGCGTTACACACACAGAGCGTTACACACACAGGGCGTTACACACAGACAGGACATTACACACACAGGGCGTTACACACACAGTACGTTACACACACAGAGCGTTACACACACAGGACATTACACACACAGGACATTACACACACAGGGCGTTACACACACACAGGACATTACACACACAGGACATTACACACACACAGGACATTACACACAGAGCGGTACACAAACACAGGACATTACACACACAGGACATTACACACACAGGACGTTACACACACATGACGTTACACACACAGGGCGTTAGACACACAGAGCGTTACACACACAGAGCGTTACACACACAGGGCGTTACACACACACAGGACATTACACACAGAGCGGTACACAAACACAGGACATTACACACACAGGACATTACACACACAGGACGTTACACACACAGGACGTTACACACACAGGACGTTACACACACAGAGCGTTACACACACACAGAGCGTTACACACACAGAGCGTTACACACACAGGACATTACACACACATGACGTTACACACACAGGGCGTTAGACACACAGAGCGTTACACACACAGAGCGTTACACACACAGGGCGTTACACACACACAGGACATTACACAGACAGGGCGTTACACACACAGTACGTTACACACACAGGGCGTTACACACACAGAGCGTTACACACACACAGAGCGTTACTCACACAGGACATTACACACACAGAGCGTTACACACACAGGGTGTTACACACACAGGACATTACACACACATGACGTTAAACACACAGGGCGTTAGACATACAGAGCGTTACACACACAGAGCGTTACACCCACAGGACATTACACACACAGGACATTACACACACAGGGCGATACACACACAGTACGTTACACACACAGAGCGTTACACACACAGAGCGTTACACACACAGAGCGTTACACACACAGGACATTACACACACATGACGTTACACACACAGGGCGTTAGACACACAGAGCGTTACACACACAGGACATTACACACAGAGCGGTACACAAACACAGGACATTACACACACAGGACATTACACACACAGGACGTTACACATACAGAGCGTTACACACACAGGACGTTACACACACAGGACGTTACACACACAGAGCGTTACACACACAGGACATTACACACACAGGACATTACACACAGAGCGTTACACACACAGGGCGTTACACACACAGAGCGTTACACCCACAGGACATTACACACACAGGACATTACACACACAGGACATTACACACACAGGACATTACACACAGAGCGTTACACACAGAGCGTTACACCCACAGGACATTACACACACAGGACATTACACACACAGGACGTTACACAAACAGGACGTTACACACACAGAGCGTTACACACACAGAACGTTACACACACAGAACGTTACACACACAGAGCGTTACACACACAGAGCGTTACACCCACAGGACATTACACACACAGGACATTACACACACAGAGCGTTACACACAGAGCGTTACACACACAGAGTGTTACACCCACAGGACATTACACACACAGGACATTACACACACAGAGCGTTACACACAGAGCGTTACACACACAGGGCGTTACACACAGAGAGCGTTACACCCACAGGACATTACACACACAGGACGTTACACACACAGGACGTTACACACACAGAGCGTTACACACACAGGACATTACACACACAGGACATTACACACACAGGACGTTACACAAACAGGACGTTACACACACAGAGCGTTACACCCACAGGACATTACACACACAGGACATTACACACACAGAGCGTTACACACAGAGCGTTACACACACAGGGCGTTACACACACAGAGCGTTACACAACAGGACGTTACACACACAGAGCGTTACACACACAGGACATTACACACACAGAGCGTTACACACAGAGCGTTACACACAGAGCGTTACACCCACAGGACATTACACACACAGGACATTACACACACAGAGCGTTACACACACAGGACATTACACACACAGGACGTTACACAAACAGGACGTTACACACACAGAGCGTTACACACACAGAACGTTACACACACAGGACATTACACACACAGGACATTACACACACAGAGCGTTACACCACAGGACATTACACACACAGGACATTACACACACAGGACGTTACACAAACAGGACGTTACACACACAGAGCGTTACACACACAGAACGTTACACACACAGAACGTTACACACACAGAGCGTTACACACACAGAGCGTTACACCCACAGGACATTACACACACAGGACATTACACACACAGAGCGTTACACACAGAGCGTTACACACACAGAGCGTTACACACAGGACATTACACACACAGGACATTACACACAGAGCATTACACACACAGAGTGTTACACACAGGACATTACACACACAGGACATTACACACAGAGCGTTACACACACAGGGCGTTACACCCACAGGACATTACACACACAGAGCGTTACACACAGGACATTACACACACAGGACATTACACACAGAGCATTACACACACAGAGTGTTACACACAGGACATTACATACACAGGACATTACACACAGAGCGTTACACACACAGGCGTTACACACACAGGGCGTTACACACACAGAGCGTTACACACAGACTTACACACACAGGACATTACACACAGAGCGTTACACACACAGGACATTACACACACAGGACATTACACACACAGGACGTTACACACACAGGACGTTACACACACAGGACGTTACACACACAGAGCGTTACACACACAGAGCGTTACACACACAGAGCGTTACACACACAGGACATTACACACACAGGACATTACACACACAGACGTTACACACACAGAGCGATACACACAGAGCGTTACACACACAGAGCGTTACACCACACAGGACATTACACACACAGGCGTTACACACACAGACGTTACACACAGAGCGTTACACACACAGAGCGTTACACACACAGAGCGTTACACACACAGGACATTACACACACAGACGTTACACACACAGGGCGTTAGACACACAGGAGCGTTACACACACAGGACATTACACACAGAGCGTTACACACAGGACATTACACACACAGGACATTACACACAGAGCGTTACACACACAGACATTACACACACAGGACGTTACACACACAGGACATTACACACACAGGACGTTACACACACAGGACATTACACACACAGAGCGTTACACACAGAGCGTTACACACACAGAGTGTTACACCCACAGGACATTACACACACAGGACATTACACACACAGACGTTACACACAGAGCGTTACACACACAGGCGTTACACACACAGAGCGTTACACCCACAGGACATTACACACACAGGACATTACACACACAGGACGTTACACAAACAGGACGTTACACACACAGAGCGTTACACACACAGAACGTTACACACACAGAACGTTACACACACAGAGCGTTACACACACAGAGCGTTACACCCACAGGACATTACACACACAGGACATTACACACACAGAGCGTTACACACAGAGCGTTACACACACAGAGCGTTACACCCACAGGACATTACACACACAGGACATTACACACAGAGCATTACACACACAGAGTGTTACACACAGGACATTACACACACAGGACATTACACACAGAGCGTTACACACACAGGGCGTTACACCCACAGGACATTACACACACAGAGCGTTACACACAGGACATTACACACACAGGACATTACACACAGAGCGTTACACACACAGGACATTACACACACAGGACGTTACACACACAGGACATTACACACACAGGACGTTACACACACAGACGTTACACACACAGAGCGTTACACACACACAGAGCGTTACACACACAGAGCGTTACACACACAGGACATTACACACACATGACGTTACACACACAGAGCGTTACACACAGAGCGTTACACACACAGAGTGTTACACCCACAGGACATTACACACACAGACATTACACACAGAGCGTTACACACAGAGCGTTACACACACAGGGCGTTACACACAGAGAGCGTTACACCCACAGGACATTACACACACAGGACGTTACACACACAGGACGTTACACACACAGAGAGTTACACACACAGGACATTACACACACAGGACATTACACACACAGAGCGTTACACACAGAGCGTTACACACACAGGCGTTACACACACAGAGCGTTACACCCACAGGACATTACACACACAGGACATTACACACACAGGACGTTACACAAACAGGACGTTACACACACAGAGCGTTACACACACAGAACGTTACACACACAGAGCGTTACACCCACAGGACATTACACACACAGGACATTACACACACAGAGCGTTACACACAGAGCGTTACACACACAGGGCGTTACACACACAGCGTTACACACCCACAGGACATTACACCACAGGACATTACACACACAGGACGTTACAAACAGGACGTTACACACACAGAGCGTTACACACACAGAACGTTACACACACAGAACGTTACACACACAGAGCGTTACACACACAGAGCGTTACACACACAGGACATTACACACACAGGACATTACACACACAGAGCGTTACACACAGAGCGTTACACACACAGAGCGTTACACCCACAGGACATTACACACACAGGACATTACACACAGAGCATTACACACACAGAGTGTTACACACAGGACATTACACACACAGGACATTACACACAGAGCGTTACACACACAGGCGTTACACACACAGGGCGTTACACCACAGGACATTACACACACAGACGTTACACACAGGACATTACACACACAGGACATTACACACAGGACGTTACACACACAGGACATTACACACACAGGACGTTACACACACAGGACATTACACACACAGGACGTTACACACACAGGACGTTACACACACAGAGCGTTACACACACACAGAGCGTTACACACACAGAGCGTTACACACACAGGACATTACACACACATGACGTTACACACACAGAGCGTTACACACAGAGCGTTACACACACAGAGTGTTACACCCACAGGACATTACACACACAGGACATTACACACACAGAGCGTTACACACAGAGCGTTACACACACAGGGCGTTACACACAGAGAGCGTTACACCCACAGGACATTACACACACAGGACGTTACACACACAGGACGTTACACACACAGAGCGTTACACACACAGGACATTACACACACAGGACATTACACACACAGGACGTTACACAACAGGACGTTACACACACAGAGCGTTACACACACAGGACATTACACACACAGAGCGTTACACACAGAGCGTTACACACACAGGCGTTACACACACAGAGCGTTACACCCACAGGACATTACACACACAGGACATTACACACACAGGACGTTACACAAACAGGACGTTACACACACAGAGCGTTACACACACAGAACGTTACACACACAGACGTTACACACACAGAACGTTACACACACAGAGCGTTACACACACAGAGCGTTACACCCACAGGACATTACACACACAGGACATTACACACACAGAGCGTTACACACAGAGCGTTACACACACAGAGCGTTACACCCACAGGACATTACACACACAGGACATTACACACAGAGCATTACACACACAGAGTGTTACACACAGGACATTACATACACAGGACATTACACACAGAGCGTTACACACACAGGGCGTTACACACACAGGGCGTTACACCCACAGGACATTACACACACAGAGCGTTACACACAGGACATTACACACACAGGACATTACACACAGAGCGTTACACACACAGGACATTACACACACAGGACGTTACACACACAGGACATTACACACACAGGACGTTACACACACAGGACGTTACACACACAGAGCGTTACACACACACAGAGCGTTACACACACAGAGCGTTACACACACAGGACATTACACACACATGACGTTACACACACAGGGCGTTAGACACACAGAGCGTTACACACACAGAGCGTTACACACACAGGGCGTTACAGACACACAGGACATTACACAGACAGGGCGTTACACACACAGTACGTTACACACACAGGCGTTACACACACAGAGCGTTACACACACACAGAGCGTTACTCACACAGGACATTACACACACAGAGCGTTACACACACAGGGTGTTACACACACAGGACATTACACACACATGACGTTAAACACACAGGGCGTTAGACACACAGAGCGTTACACACACAGAGCGTTACACACACAGGGCGTTACACACACAGGGTGTTACACACACAGGACATTACACACACATGACGTTAAACACACAGGGCGTTAGACACACAGGACATTACACACACAGGACATTACACACACAGGGCGTTACACACACAGGACATTACACACACAGAGCGTTACACACACAGGACATTACACACACAGGACGTTACACACACAGGACGTTACACACACAGAGCGTTACACACACAGAGCGTTACACACAGGACATTACACACACAGAGCTTTACACACACAGGGCGTTACACACACAGGACGTTACACACACAGAGCGTTACCCACACACAGAGCGTTACACACACAGGACATTACAAACACAGGACATTACACACACAGGACGTTACACACACAGAGCGTTACACACAGAGCGTTACACACATGGAGCATTACACAGACAGGGCGTTACACATACAGAGCGTTACACACACAGGACGTGACACACACAGGACATTACACACACAGAGCGTTACACACATAGCGTTACACACACAGTGTTACACACACAGTACGTCACACACACAGGGCGTTAGACACATAGGCTGTTACACACACAGTACGTTACACACACAGGCATTACACACACAGGGCGTTACACACACAGGACATTACACACACAGGCGTTACACACACAGGGCGTTACACACACAGGACATTACACACACAGAGCGTTACACACACAGGGTATTACACTTACAGGACTTTACACACACGGGACATTACACACACGGGGCGTTACACACACACACTCACACACAGACACACACACACACACACACACACAGAAGCTAATACGTTGCTGTGTTTGTTTGTCCTTCAGATGAGAGCAGTGAGGATGAGGAGGATGAAGAAGACGAGGAGCCAGACAGCAGAGACGATGTGAGTGTTTCTTTGTGTGATGAAGGTGGTCTGAAATCAGGGTCAGAGTTTAAACCTATAGATCACATGATGTCACTCATAAGAATGTGTGTGTTCACAGGATGACGATCTGGAGACAGACCTGAACAAACTACGTCTCCGTCCGGACCCTGACAGACCCAAAGAGCTGTTGGTTCAGTACAGCCGACTCTGTCCTGAACTGTCCCACGACTTCCAGGTCTGTTTACAAAACAAACAATAACAGCAGCTTAATAATAATAACAACTTAGCGCCTTTCATGAAACCCAAGGATGCTTTACAAAGTGTGTGTGGGGGGCGTAATGGGAGAGAACAAAAGACAAACAAATGAAGGAGAGAGGAAGTGAGTGATGGGGGGGATGGGGGTGTAGGAATGGAGGAGGTCTGTGAAGTACGGTGGTGCTAGACCATGGAGAGATTTGTAGGTGAGTAGGAGGAGTTTATATTGAACGGGGGACTTGATCGGGAACCAGTGGAGGTGAATGAGGGTGGGGGTGATGTGCTGCCAGGGCTTGGTGCGTGTGAGGACCCTGGCAGCGGAGTTCTGGACATATTGGAGTCTGTTCAGGGCAGAACACCATTACAATAGTCCAGGCAGAAAGTGATGAAGACGTGAATGAGGGTCTCTGCCACGGGGTCGGGGAGTGAGGGCCGGAGTCGAGAGATGTTTTTAAGGTGGAAGAAGGCGGATTTGGTAATGGACTTGATGTGGGATTTAAAAGAAAGGGTTGAGTCCAGGATGACGCCTAGGTTACAGACCTCGGGTGAAGGGTGGATGGAGCAGTCGTCCACAGTGAGGAGGAGATCTCCAACCTTCCTGAGCACGAGCTCAGTCTTAATGCTGTTTGAGGAGGTTGGAAGACATCCACGTTTTAATGTCCTGCAGGCAGTTGTCTAGTGACTGGGGGTGGGGGGGGGGGGGAGCTTAGTGGAAGGAAGGGGGTTGAGGTAGTGTTGTGTGTCATCGGCGTAGGAGTGGAAATTGAGACCATGTTGGCGGATTATCCGACCGAGGGGGAGCATGTAGATAGTGAAGAGAAGAGGGCCAAGCACAGAACCTTGCGGTACTCCTTGGTTAATTGGGGCTAGGGAGGAGCTGGAGTCGCTGATGGTGACAAACTGTTGCCTGTTGGAGAGGTAGGAGTGGAACCAGGAGACGCCAAGGTGTTCAGATAGGAGGTGGAGGAGGATGGTGTGGGAGACAGAGAGGTCTAGTAGGATGAGGATGCTGATGGAGGTCGTTGGTGATTTTAATGAGGGTGGTTTCTGTGCTGTGGGGGGTTAGAGGGGTTAGGGGGGTTAGGGGTCTGAAGCCGGATTGGAATGGTTCGTAGAGCTCATGGTTGGACTGGTGGAATCGGGCAGCAGCTGCTCTTTCTGATTTTGCTGAGGAAAGGAAGGTTGGAGATCAGGGGGAAGTTGTTTGGGTCTTTTTTAGGATGGGTGTGACTGATGGAGGGGACGGTTCAGACTGTGTGATACAAACTCAATTATCATGACCTTCAGCTGGCCCCGCCCCCTTTTTTGTCTCAAATAAACAGCATTCAATGGATAAGCTGAAAACTGACCTGTTAAACATCAGACAGAAACCTGGATCAGAACCAGACTCATGTTGAACAGACAGAAACCTGGATCAGAACCAGACTCATGATGAACAAACAGAAACCTGGATCAGAACCAGACTCATGTTGAACAGACAGAAACCTGGATCAGAAATGTAAACCCTGATCTTTGTCTGACAGGATCTGGACCTGAGCTCAGAGTCAGGAGACTCTTCATCTTCATCAGACGAGGAGTTGGTGTTCCCTGCTCACTCCTCCAGGAGGGACAGGAGGAGGAGCAGAGACCAGTCCTCAGCAGGGTCTCACTCAGAGACAAATGAACAAACACCAGGTCAGACACACACACACACACACACACACACACACACACATACACACACACACACACACACACACACACACACACACACACACACAGGCTTTATTATAATGTGACCACTAAGAGAACATAACAACAGAGTCAGGCTCTAATAATTAAAAACTTACAGCACAGTGTTTAATGAACCTGTAGTAGTATCAAAAATGTTGTTATTTTTACAGCATCCTCTTTATTTAACTTCTGTAGGTATTTGATTGACAGATGTCAGATTAGCCAAAAGGCCGCCGCCGTTAGCCTGTAAATGGTTAATTCAAGTGTTAGCATCAAGCTAACAATCTAAAATGTACATCCCTGTACAAGGCTAATGTAGATACACACACTGTCTCTCTCCACCTGTGTGTGTGTGTGTGTGTGTGTGTGTGTGTGTGTGTGTGTGTGTGTGTGTGTGTGTGTGTGTGTGTGTGTGTGTGTGTGCTGCAGATTTTCACAGTCACAGAAACTTTCTCAGCACCAGTCCAAGCTTCAGGAGCATTGTGAAAGAGAACAGGTACACTCACACACTCCAACACCAGTGTGTGTGTGTGCGTGTGTGTGTGCGTGTGTGTGTGAGTGTGAGTGTGAGTGTGAGTGTGAGTGTGAGTGTTTTTTTTTATTTAACCAGGAAAAAGTCTCATTGAGATTAAAAATCTCTTTTACAAGAGCGTCCTGGCCAAGACAGGCAGCAGCACAATTACAGGGTTTCAGACATAAATACATAAATACAGGAATCACAAAAAGAACCATTCATCAGAATCTGTCATCAGCAACAAAGCGATCAAAAATCGCAATACGAGATATTTCTGCCTCCAGATCATTAAGATGACCTTTAAAAACATTCAAGGAAACCAGCTTCTGAAGATTTAAAGTATCTTGTAACCGATTCCAAGAAAAGGGAGCAGCATACTTGAACGCTCTTTTTCCTAATTCTTCCGCCTTTGGATACTACAAGGGAGCTAGAAGTGATGCCTTCTGCCTGCACACACTGAGATCTACCAGAAAGGTAGCTTTCAAACCAGCAGACCACTTTGTCTGATAGTCCTACGCTACTAAGTCTTTGCTTTAGTATTGCATGATCCACAGTATCAAAAGCCTTTGATAAATCAATAAAAAGCGCTGCACAGTGGTGTTTGTTGTCTAAAAATTCTATTAAATCATTGACCACTTTTAAAGCCGCTGTAATTGTGCTGTGTTTTTTCCTAAAACCTGACTGAAAGTCAGATAAGATATTGTTTGATAGTAGGAAATATTTCAGTTGTTCACTCACAATGGACTCCAGAACCTTGACCAGGACCGACAACTTGGAGATGGGTCTATAATTATTTAAGACTGTAGGGTCCCCCCCTTTCAACAAGGGAAGAACAAATGCAGATTTCCATATAAGAGGAATTTCGTTTGTGTCCAGGGAGAGATTAAAAAGATGTGTGAAGGGTGGTGCGATAAAATCAGCTGCCAGCTTTAAAAAGTGTCAGGACCTGCAGATTTTTTTGTGTCGAGGAGTTTGAGGGCTTTGACCACTTCTGAGACTGTAATGACTTGAAAACTGAAGGATTGACTACCTGTAACATGACAGTCAGAAAAAACAGTAGGGGAATTTATATGCCTATTGCTAAAAGAGTCAAACAAGGAGCCAGAGGCTATAAAATGTTCATTAAAGACACCAAGCATTTTGGACTTATCAGTGACTTTAAGTGAGTCCTTAACAATGCATGGAGAAAGCTCAATTCCATTTTTATTTCCAGCCAGGGATTTAATTGTCTTCCAGAATTTCAAGGGATTGTTTAGGTTGCTTGAGGTTTCTGTGAGGAAATTATCAGCTTTGGCTTTCCTAATTGCAGCTGTGAGAGCATTGCTCATCTGCCTGTAAAGCAGCCAGTCCGAATCCAGACCTGATCTCCTGGCTTTTGCCCATGCTATATTTCGCTCATGAAGTGAGTTAGATAACTCTGGAGTGAACCATACATTATTTCGGCCTTTAACTCTGTACTTTCTGAGGTTAGCTTGCTATTCCACAATTTTTGTCAAACCATCATAAAAGAATTTCCATGCACTTTCAGTCAAAATTAAACAAGTCATGAAAAAACCCTTGTTCATTAAAATGTTTCATGTCACGCTTTATAATGATGCGTGGCTTGGTTTTGGGGATTTTTGTATTTCTCACTGAGGCAATAACACAATGGTCACTAATGTCATTTGCAAAAACAGAAGCAGTTGTGTATTTATGAGGAGTGTTTGTTAGAATAAAATCTATTAGAGATGATTTTTCTGGACATTTAAGATTGGGTCTAGTGGGGCTATCGACAATTTGAAAGAGGGTTAGCGAGTCACAGGAAGCTTTAAAATCATCAGATACTGGTTTTAACCAGTTCCAGTTAAAATCTCCAATAATGACAATTTCATTAAACTTCAATTCTGTTTAAAGCTGCATCAGGGTGGATAGTGCACTGCTGACAGCTGAAGGTGTCCTATAACAACCAACAACAGTTATATGGAGAGATTTCGATATCTCAAGATCAAGAGCCAACAATTCAAACTGCTTACTCTCTGAATTGGAGAGAAGCACATTTGCATGAAACTTGCTTTTTATATAAATTGCAATACCCCCTCCCCCTTTGGGCCGGTCAGTCCTAAATATATTATAACCATCGATACTAATATCCTTGTTCAGAACAGATTCACTCAACCAAGTTTCAGATAGAACAATTACAGAAGCATCTGTTGAGTTCGCCCAGATACGAATCATGTCCATTTTAGCTATTAAACTGTGTACATTCAGATGGATGAAACCAAGACCAGACCTTGATTTAAAGTCGGCAGGAGTGTTAAAATTTATAGAAGAATCTGGACCTGGATTGGGTTGCACATTCCCTGAAATCAGCAGCTACAGAACAATAAGACACCTCTGTTTAAGTTATTTGGAGGAGGTATCTTTCTTAGAGTCCTCCAATACAAAATCACAAGCACAGTTTATGGAAATGGTTAAATTGTCTTGCAAAGCCGTTATACTGATGAGACGGGACAAGACCACAGTGTCAGATGAAAAGAAAGGGTGTAGGGGTAACGATTTAACCAGCGCACAGCCAGATGCACACGTTCCCCGGTATGTTGCACTAGAGTTTAGGGTTAGGTCCCGTGCCCGTGGGGGCTTCATCCTATGCTGCACAAAATGAACAAACACAGTACAGTAAAGAGCAACGGCATTTTTCGTTTCATTCCCGTATGAAAACTGCATAAACTCGTAAGAGCAACGGAGATTTGGTTGCCAACCAAAACCAAGTTTATTGACTGAAGTAGAATTTTTGAAATCCAGACCAGTTCAGTAATAATCCGCTCCGAAAGTTTTGGTTTTTTCTTCTCCTCTCAAGTCAGATGACGTCGTTGGGTTGCGTGACGTCTCACGTAAACAGGAAATCAACCCAGGCGAAGAAATCCTGTGGATAGATACAGTAAAATCAGTAAAAAATGTGTGGAACCTATTTTAAGCACCATGAAAACCATGAAAGAAGCACTTTCCTTTATCATGAGAGGTTTAGGCCCATCAGAGTCACTCGGCGTGTCAGCATTTCGTCTCCAAGAGGTGGTCAGGCTTCAAGCACATGGGGCAATCCAGGTCCTCCAGAACGGTTGAGTTGGTAGGTTATATAAACCACATTTCACACAGCCGATAGTCCCAGTAGACACAGCGTGGTGGACAGATTTAAAGTTTACCGATAGTTTACAAGACTTTACAAAGATGAAAGGGGTTATCACTCAGTCAGATACACACAGACGCACTGACAGGTAAAGATGTGCTGCCATCTTGGAAAACGGTAGGGTGTGAAAATAAATACTTTGAGTGTGTGTGTGTGTGTGTGTGTGTGTGTGTGTGTGTGTGTTAGGGTTAATCTCACACATAGGTCTCTCTCTATTTTTGTCTCTGACCTCTGACCCTTGAACTTATGGTTGTCCTGTTGGCAGGGCGGATGCCCCCCCAGGTGATGGAGGGTCAGATCAGGAAGAGGAGGGGGTTGAAGACTCCGCCCACTGTACAATGATTGACAGGTTGTTGGAGCGACACGGCGCCTGTATCCCCCATCATGACCCCAGGCTGTACCTATCTGCTGCCTCAAAAACCAGATCCATCCCTGGCTTCAGCATCCTGGCCTTCCCGGATTTCTGGGGTCACCTGCCCCCCGCAGGCCACGAAGCCATGGCCCCCCGGGGACCCCACATTCAGAGGTAAGAACAGCTCATTATAATGTCACACTAATCCTTACCGTGCCAAAGCAGGTCCAGTGTGTCCCTGTCCCTGACAGAGGTGTGCCTCGCCATGGAGCAGTGAAGTATAATCTATAAGCACAGTACGGGGCACCTGGGCGCCCTAAGACACCTGTCTGAAATAATAACAGACCCAGATCCAGGTCTTTAAAGCTTCAGGACTCGTTAGGGTCATGGAGGCGTGGTTATAGTCATAACTTCATCCTTTCTATATTCATGTTTTCTAATGTGGACCCCAGGTAGAGCTGAGAACAGCTGATGGGGATCCTAACAAATAAACAAATATCTCAGGCTGTGGGGGAGGGGCCGAACGAGAGAGGGGCCCAGATGTGTGTGTGTGTATTTGTAACTTTTCAGGTTTATAAGACTCCCAAACTCAAGAAAGGTTTATTGGTTTCTGTTCAGGGAGGCATGGCAGAGGTCTGAAGAGATCTACAGGTTTGTGTTGGGGCCTTAAATAGTGACTGCAATGATCAATCCAGCAGGACATTGAGTGGTTATGACATCTCTGTCCACCAGAGGTCGCCATTGAGACTTCACATCAGTGTGTGTGTGTGTGTGTGTGTGTGTGTGTGTGTGTGTGTGTGTGTGTGTGTGTTTCTTTATCAGACTGAAAGTGTTTCAAGACATCAGACGTTTCCTGAATACTGATGACATCATCAACCAGGTGGTGTTTGACCTGGAAGACAGCAGGTAGATACACACCTACACACACACACACACACACACACACACACACACACACACACACACACACACACACACACACTGGGGGCCATCTGAATAATAGATTATATAATATAATAAAGGAAATGTGATTTGAACTGACTATCTATTTACACAATGATCGTTAAAGAACAAAGGACACAATGCTTCTGTCTGTACTGAAAATGTGACTTAAACAAAGTATGATTGTGTGTGTGTGTGTGTGTGTGCGTGTGTGTGTGTGTGTGTGTGTGTGTGTGTGTGTGTGTGTGTGTGTGTGTGTGTGTGTGTGTGTGTGTGTGTGTGTGTATGTGTGTGTGTGTGGGTGTGTGTGCATGTGTGTGCGTGTGGGTGGGTGTGTGTGTGTGTGTGTGTGTGTGTGCGTGTGTGTGTGTGGGTGGGTGTGTGTGCGTGTGTGTGTGTGTGTGTATGTTCAGTGTTCAATGTCCGTCTGACTCTCTGAGGTTTTACTCCAAGTTTGAAAGTGGGAACCTGAGGAAGGCTGTACAGGTCCGCAGGTAACAATACACACACACACACACACACACACACACACACACACACACACACACACACAAAAAAAGCCGAACACAGGTCAATTCACATTTTTGCAGTGTTTATTTTCCCATGGCTCCTCTCCTGTCCCTTTATCGCCCCCTGCAGGTGTAGGTGTGTAATGACACCCTCACTTTCTCTCCTGTCCCTTTATCGCCCCCTGCAGGAATGAGTATGACCTGATCCTGAACGCAGACACTAACTGCTCTCAGCACACTCAGTGGTTTTACTTTGAGGTCAGTAACATGCAGCCTGATGTCCCCTATCGCTTCAACATCATCAACTGTGAGAAGACCAACAGCCAGTTCAACTACGGTCAGTGTGTGTATATGTGTGTGTGTGTGTGTGTGTGTGTGTGTGTGTGTGTGTGTGTGTGTGCGTGTGGTGTGCTTGTGCGTGTGCGTGTGCGTGTTTGTGTGGAGGGTTATTGCCTGCAGCAAATAACCTTCAAGTCTTTAACCCTCCATCGTCTGCCATTAAGCAAGCAGAGGACTCTACAGATCAAGAACAGCCTATTTTTAACTTCGTAATATATCCAAGATCAGGAATATCCTGTCGCAAAATGATGCAGAAAAACTAGTTCATGCATTTGTTACCTCCAGGTTGGATTATTGTAACTCTCTTTTGTCAGGGTGCTCTGGTAAATCTCTAAAGACTCTTCAACTGGTCCAGAACGCTGCAGCTCCTGTACTGACTAGAACTAGGAAAAGGGCCTGTTATCAGGCCTGCTCGTGGTACCTACAGTCTCTAAATGTATTATGGGAGGTAGAGCCTTCAGTTATCAGGCCTGCTCGTGGTACAGTCTCTAAATGTATTATGGGAGGTAGAGCCTTCAGTTATCAGGCCTGCTCGTGGTACAGTCTCTAAATGTACTATGGGAGGTAGAACCTTCAGTTATCAGGCCTGCTCGTGGTACAGTCTCTAAATGTACTATGGGAGGTAGAGCCTTCAGTTATCAGGTCTGCTCGTGGTACCTACGGTCTCTAAATGTACTATGGGAGGTAGAGCCTTCAGTTATCAGGCCTGCTCGTGGTACAGTCTCTAAATGTACTATGGGAGGTAGAGCCTTCAGTTATCAGGTCTGCTCGTGGTACCTACAGTCTCTAAATGTACTATGGGAGGTAGAGCCTTCAGTTATCAGGCCTGCTCGTGGTACAGTCTCTAAATGTACTATGGGAGGTAGAGCCTTCAGTTATCAGGTCTGCTCGTGGTACCTACAGTCTCTAAATGTACTATGGGAGGTAGAGCCTTCAGTTATCAGGCCTGCTCGTGGTACAGTCTCTAAATGTACTATGGGAGGTAGAGCCTTCAGTTATCAGGTCTGCTCGTGGTACCTACAGTCTCTAAATGTACTATGGGAGGTAGAGCCTTCAGTTATCAGGCCTGCTCGTGGTACAGTCTCTAAATGTATTATGGGAGGTAGAGCCTTCAGTTATCAGGTCTGCTCGTGGTACATACAGTCTCTAAATGTACTATGGGAGGTAGAGCCTTCAGTTATCAGACCTGCCAGTGGTACCTACAGTCTCTAAATGTACTATGGGAGGTAGAGCCTTCAGTTATCAGACCTGCCAGTGGTACCTATGGGTGCCCCTTAGAGCTCTTAAACTTAACAATGCTTGTTTGTGTGTGTGTGTGTGTGTGTGTGTGTGTGTGTGTGTGTGTGTGTGTCCTGCAGGGATGCAGCCGGTGTTGTACTCGGTCAGAGCAGCTCTGGAGGGCAGACCTCAGTGGGTCAGGACTGGAGATGATGTTTGTTATTACAGGTGAGGATGAATAAAGAAAATATTGTTATATTTATACTTGATGTTTGTGTAATCACAGCAAGTCTGTCTAACAAACACAAACACAACATAGTAAAACACAAAGTTCAATGACCAACATCCCACTGTGAAGGCTATCGGGCTGTTCTGATAGGATAGAGCGCTCGCTGTGGAGCAGGGTGCTCAGCGGGTTGTTGCTAGGTAACCGAAACGATAGCTGGGAAAGTATGTTTGCATGTGACCACTCTGACCTTTCTCCTGCTGAGGAGACGAGCAGTGAAGAAGAAGAAGAAGAGGGCGTGGCTTCATGAAATCCTCCGGGCCCGACAGGAAGTGGGAGAGTTTGGACCCGTCCAGGAGCTGCAGCTCTGTAACTGCTGTGGTTAGAAACACAGCCAATCGCAGAGCGCCGATACGCTCTGACACGCCCATCGTGTCCTCTCTGATAGGCCGGTAAGCTCAGCTTCATGACATCATGCTCATTATCCCAACAGAAATCACTTCTGTTCATCTCGAGGGCGGAGGACCTCCACCTTCTACACCCTGACCTTCACTGTGACCTTCAAACACCACGAGGACGTCTGCTACATCGCCTATCACTACCCCTACCCCTACTCCACCCTCAAGGTACTCCACCTATTAATCTATCAGTGTCTACATATCTATATCTACTCCACCACTACTCCTACTCCACAAACTCCATAAATAAGAACTTGATCATATGAACATCACCATGTCAATATTTGTATGTAGAATTCTCTCAGACATTAAACATTTCAATCAAATATGCAATGAATAAGCATTAAATCAAACCTGAGGACAGTCAGACGATTTCTGCCTGTATGGAAATAAAACCAACGTTATGACATTCAACATTCTCAATAAAACACATTAATATAGTATGAAAAGTATAAAATCATATCTTCAAATACCATCTCCTATAAATAGAACAAAATAACATAATTAAAACGTATCCTCATTCCTTTGATTCTAAAACTTAGACCTGTGCAGTAATCTTTCCACTAGGGGGCACTAGTGCTCCACGTAAGATTCAGTGAAGGTTCATCAGGTAATATGAAAAGACTTCCTACATATATAATTCCATCATAGATGATCGTAGTGGAATCTAACTCACATGAAAATGTTACTCTTGATGTCATGATTATATATATATATATATCTGATTCAGGGATTGAACAGACATTCTTTTATATCAGAAATTGAGCATGTTGGTTAGGACAGATTGTTCATCAGATGTAAAGCTGTTAGGTCAGTAGGTGAGATAATCCAGAGCACATCGAAGGCATCCCCTGCCGTGTTGATTAACTCCACAGACGGCTGTGTTCCTGAGTTTGCTAACTCCGAGGTCGTTCACACATAGCCAAGTGTTCTGTTTTACCGATGTAGATTTTAAAGTTATCCAAAGTGTTTTATGATGTCCTGTCTTTACATTCCAATGTAAAGTCAAACAGTTAATCAATAAGTTGTGTTTTCCCATCATCTGTGTGTGTCTGTGTGTGTGTGTGTGTGTGTGTGTGTGTCTCAGGCTCACCTGAAGCAGCTGCAGAGGTGTGTGGATCCTTCCTCAGTGTTCTTCAGGCAGCAGGTTCTCTGTGAGACTCTGAAGGGAAACTCGTGTCCTCTGGTCACCATCACAGCCTGTCCGAGCAGTCGCAGCTGGAGAGACCTGCACCAGCTGCGTGAGTACTGAGTGTGTGTGTACAGGTGTGTGTGTGTGTGTGTGTGTGTGTGTAGAGTCCTGTCTGTGTAGGACAGGTATGATGAACCTGTGTGTGTGTGTGTGTGTGTGTGTGTGTGTGTGTGTATACAGGTATGATGAACCTGTGTGTGTGTGTGTGTGTGTGTATACAGGTATGATGAACCTGTGTGTGTGTGTGTGTGTGTGTTTGTGTGCGTGTGTGTGTGTGTACAGGTATAATGAACCTGTGTGTGTGTCTGCTCAGGTAATCGTCCGTGCATCGTGCTGACAGCTCGGGTTCATCCAGGTGAGTCTAATGCGAGCTGGGTGATGAAGGGCAGTCTGGAGTTCCTGTGCAGCAGTGACCCCGTGGCTCAGAGTCTGAGAGAGGCCTTCATCTTTAAAATCATCCCCATGCTGAACCCTGACGGAGTCATCAACGGCATGTGAGTCCCACGCAGCGACTCCACAAACATCAAGTCTGTAACATGCACTTTAAATATGTGTGTGTGTGTGTGTGTGTGTGTGTGTTTAGGAGTCGCTGTGATCTCATTGGGGAGGATCTGAACCGTCAGTGGTGTAAACCTGACCCCTCCCTCTGTCCCACGATCTACCACACCAAAGGTTTCCTTTATTACCTGAACAGCATCGGACGCACGCCACAGGTGAGACAGACACAAAACGTTAGAGACGTTTTAATGTTTAGATCATGTTTCCTGTTCTCAGGTGTTCTGTGATTATCATGTTTCCTGTTCTCAGGTGTTCTGTGATTAACATGTTTTACATCCTGATGAGTTTAGGTCATATTACCTGTTCTCAGGTGTTCTGTGATTATTATGTTTCCTGTTCTCAGGTGTTCTGTGATTATCATGTTTCCTGTTCTCAGGTGTTCTGTGATTATCATGTTTCCTGTTCTCAGGTGTTCTGTGATTATTATGTTTCCTGTTCTCAGGTGTTCTGTGATTATCATGTTTCCTGTTCTCAGGTGTTCTGTGATTATTATGTTTCCTGTTCTCAGGTGTTCTGTGATTATCATGTTTCCTGTTCTCAGGTGTTCTGTGATTAACATGTTTTACATCCTGATGAGTTTAGATCATGTTTCCTGTTCTCAGGTGTTCTGTGATTACCATGTTTTACATCCTGATGAGTTTAGATCATATTTCCTGTTCTCAGGTGTTCTGTGATTACCACGGACACTCCAGGAAGAAGAACGTCTTTCTGTACGGCTGCAGCGTGAAGGAGACGCTCTGGCAGTCCGGCTCTGCTGTGGACACGGTGGGACTGAAGGAGGACCCTGGATACAGGGTACACACACACACACACACACACACACACACACACACACACACACACACACACACACACACACACTGACAGAAACATCTCTCTCTCTTCAGACTATCCCAAAAACGTTGGATCGTATCGCTCCAGCCTTCTCCTTCAACAGCTGCAACTACTTGGTGATTTCACAAACACAGACATTAATAATAATAATGTTTAATAATGTTTAATAATGTTGATTTCACAAACACAAACATTAATAATAATAATGTTTAATAATGTTTAATAATGTTGATTTCACAAACACAGACATTAATAATAATAATGTTTAATAATGTTTAATAATGTTGATTTCATTCACAAACATTAATAATAATGTTTAATAATGTTGATTTCATATACACAAACAATAATAATAATAATGTTTAATTATGTTTAATAATGTTTAATAATGTTGATTTCACAAACACCAACATTATTAATAATAATGTTTAATAATGTTTAATAATGTTGATTTCATTCACAAACATTAATAATAATGTTTAATAATGTTGATTTCATATACACAAACAATAATAATAATAATAATGTTTAATAATGTTTAATAATGTTTAATAATGTTGATTTCATTCACAAACATTAATAATAATGTTTAATAATGTTTAATAATGTTTAATAATGTTGATTTCATTCACAAACATTAATAATAATGTTTAATAATGTTTAATAATGTTTAATAATGTTGATTTCATAAACACAAACATTAATAATAATAATGTTTAATAATGTTTAATAATGTTTAATAATGTTGATTTCATTCACAAACATTAATAATAATGTTTAATAATGTTTAATAATGTTTAATAATGTTGATTTCACAAACACAAACATTAATAATAATAATGTTTAATAATGTTTAATAATGTTGATTTCACAAACACAAACGTTAAAAATAATAATGTTTAATAATGTTTAATAATGTTGATTTCATTCACAAACATTAATAATAATGTTTAATAATGTTGATTTCATATACACAAACAATAATAATAATAATAATGTTTAATTATGTTTAATAATGTTTAATAATGTTGATTTCACAAACACCAACATTATTAATAATAATGTTTAATAATGTTTAATAATGTTGATTTCATTCACAAACATTAATAATAATGTTTAATAATGTTTAATAATGTTTAATAATGTTGATTTCACAAACACAAACATTAATAATAATAATGTTTAATAATGTTTAATAATGTTGATTTCACAAACACAAACGTTAAAAATAATAATGTTTAATAATGTTGATTTCACAAACACCAACATTATTAATAATAATGTTTAATAATGTTTAATAATGTTGATTTCATTCACAAACATTAATAATAATGTTTAATAATGTTGATTTCATATACACAAACAATAATAATAATAATAATGTTTAATTATGTTTAATAATGTTTAATAATGTTGATTTCACAAACACCAACATTATTAATAATAATGTTTAATAATGTTTAATAATGTTGATTTCATTCACAAACATTAATAATAATGTTTAATAATGTTGATTTCATATACACAAACAATAATAATAATAATGTTTAATAATGTTTAATAATGTTGATTTCACAAACACAAACATTAATAATAATAATGTTTAGTAATGTTTAATAATGTTTAATAATGTTGATTTCACAAACATTAATAATAATAATGTTTAATAATGTTTAATAATGTTGATTTCACAAACACAAACATTAATAATAATAATGTTTGATAATGTTTAATAATGTTGATTTCATAAACACAAACATTAATAATAATAATGTTTAATAATGTTGATTTCACAAACACAAACAGTAATAATAATAATCTTTAATAATGTTGATTTCACAAACACAAACAGTAATAATAATAATCTTTAATAATGTTGATTTCACAAACACAAACAGTAATAATAATAATGTTCAATAATATTTAATAATGTTTAATAATGTTGATTTCACAAACACAAACATTAATAATAATAATGTTTAATAATGTTGATTTCATAAACACAAACATTAATAATAATAATGTTTAATAATGTTGATTTCACAAACACAAACAGTAATACTAATAATCTTTAATAATATTGATTTCACAAACACAAACAGTAATAATAATAATGTTCAATAATATTTAATAATGTTTAATAATGTTGATTTCACAAACACAAACATTAATAATAATAATGTTTAATAATGTTGATTTCACAAACACAAACATTAATAATAATGTTTAATAATGTTGATTTCATAAACACAAACATTAATAATAATAATGTTGAATAATGTTTAATAATATTGATTTCATAAACACAAACAGTAATAATAATAATGTTTAATAATGTTTTCAAAAACTCAAATGTTTTAACCTGCACTCCGACAGGTGGAGAAGTCTCGCTCGTCCACAGCGCGGGTGGTGGTATGGAGAGAGATAGGCGTTCTGAGGAGTTACACCATGGAGAGCACCTACAACGGCTGTGATCAGGGCATACACAAGGTGTGTGTGTGTGTGTGTGTGTGTGTGTGTGTGTGTGTGTGTGTGGCGTACATCTGCCTGCATGTGTGTGGTCATGTGGGATCTTTGAAATACTCTTTTTGTGGTCTTATAGTTAAAAAGGTGAATTACGTTCCACTCAGAGCCCCCCCTGCATGTCTGCACAACATGTATCTGCAGTGTGTGTGTCTCTGCAGTGTGTGTGTGTGTGTATCTGCAGTGTGTGTGTCTCTGCAGTGTGTGTGTGTGTGTATCTGCAGTGTGTGTGTATTTGCAGTGTGTGTGTATCTGCAGTGTGTGTGTGTGTGTGTGTGTATCTGCAGTGTGTGTGTGCATGTATCTGCAGTGTGTGTGTATCTGCAGTGTGTGTGTGTATCTGCAGTGTGTGTATATCTGCAATGTGTGTGTGTATCTGCAGTGTGTGTGTATCTGCAGTGTGTGTGTGTATCTGAAGTGTGTGTGTGTGTATCTGCAGTGTGTGTGTGTGTCTGCAGTGTGTGTGTGTATCTCTAGTGTGTGTATCTGCAGTGTGTGTGTATCTGCAGTGTGTGTGTGTATCTGCAGTGTGTGTGTATCTGCAGTGTGTGTGTGTATCTGCAGTGTGTGTGGATCTGCTGTGTGCGTGTATCTGCAGTGTGTGTGTGTCTCTGCAGTGTGTGTGTGTGTGTGTGTGTGTGTGTATCTGCAGTGTGTGTGTGTGTATCTGCAGTGTGTGTGTATCTGCAGTGTGTGTATCTGCAGTGTGTGTATCTGCAGTGTATGTGTGTATCTGCAGTGTGTGTGTGTGTGTGTGTGTGTGTGTGTGTCTGCAGTGTGTGTGTGTATCTGCAGTGTGTGTGTGTGTCTGCAGTGTGTGTGGGTATCTGCAGTGTGTGTGTATATGCAGTGTGTGTGTATCTGCAGTGTGTGTGTATCTGCAGTGTGTGTGTGTATCTGCAGTGTGCGTGTATCTGCAGTGTGTGTGTATCTGCAGTGTGTGTGTGTATCTGCAGTGTGTGTGTATCTGCAGTGTGTGTGTATCTGCAGTGTGTGTGTGTGTGTGTATGAAAACACCTTGCAAACAACACAGGCTACTCTTCAGATCCTGGACGACCCCCAATTGTTACGGCTAGAACCTGTGAAGTGTTGAAACAAAAACAAACGTTACTTCAGATTCAGTCTCTCAGGTGTCCGTCTAAAAATCGCTAGAAAAACACGACGCGTGGCACAAAAAAAGAGCGTGCAGCAGGCGCGCTACCATCAGAAAAAAATGGTTTTGGTGGTGATCACGCTCTGATCGGTGTGATCAGGGCGTTAACCTTCATTTTGTCATTAGAGACCGTTAAGCAGCCTAAAACCTCCTGTTGACCCCCCTGACAGCAGAGTCTATATTTATAACTGCACCGCCGTGTGTGTTTGTGTGTGTGTGTGTGTGTGTGTGTGTGTGTGTGTGTGTGTGTGTGTGTGTGTGTGTGTGTGTGTGTAGGGGCTGCAGACAGGGAGCAGGGAGCTGCAGGAGATGGGGATGAAGTTCTGTCAGAGTCTGCTGTCCGTCACTAAAGACTCTCGAGCTCTTTACAACAAGAAACTGATCCATCACATCGACCTGGACGACAACGTCCTCGACCACAAGTCGCACAAGTAAGAACCACCGCACAAGTACAGCACCGCGGAGGGGGGGGGGACATGGTATGTCCGAGGTGTGATGTCACAGATGAAGGCTGTTGCCTTCAGGTGCAACGTGTCTGTTGAATGTCCTCTAGTCCTCTAGTCCACTAGTCTGGGGTGAGCCGGTGGACATGTTGCTGCAGGAGCTGGGTATCGATGGGGTTGAAAACGGGGTCTCCCATGTTACAGTTTATAGTGTTCTCTCTCTCTCTCTCTCTCTCTCTCTCTCTCTCTCTCTCTCTCTCTCTCTCTCTCTCTCTCTCTCTCTCTCTCTCTCTCTCTCTCTCTCTCTCTCTCTCTCTCTCTCTCTCTCTCTCTCTCTCTCACTCCTAAAGCTGCTTCGAGGACGACGAGCCCCCGTGTGTGGAGGAGATCGAGTTCTCCGCAGACTGTCCGCCTCTACACGGCGATGATCTGGATTCAGATGTTGACAGAAACATGGCGGGCGCTGAGGAAGACGAGGAGGATGAAGACTTCCTGTTCCCCAGTCGGACCTGACAGTCATCCACGTGTAACGGCACCGCCAGCGGTCAGATCCTCAGCTAAACCACCAAGACCAAGAACCCTGACCCTAACCTTAACAGGTCCTCAGACTGGGACCTGGTCCTGACCTTAACCCTAACAGGTCCTCAGCTAAACCACCAAGATCCAAAAGTCTCCATAAGGACTGAAAGGACCCGAACCCTAACAGGTCCTCAGCTAAACCACCAAGATCCAAAAGTCTACATAAGGACTGAAAGGACCCGAACCCTAACAGGTCCTCAGACTGGGACCTGGTCCTGACCCTAGCTAACAGGTCATCAGACTGGGACCTGGTCCTGACCCTAGCTAACAGGTCATCAGACTGGGACCTGGTCCTGATCCTGGTCTTCCTGGTCCTGAACGCTCTCACGCTGTGGACTGATGCTTTAATTTCCTCTTTTCTGTGTTTGCTGTGAGAATAAAAGTGATTTATTTTGTGTTTATCTCTCGTCTCCTCCTCAGAGTCTTTCAGGTGAAGTTGCTTGAACCACATTGAGGATTATTGTAGACCCTTCATCATAGTGACCCCATGTATCTGGGGACCTCAGCTCTTAAACTATTCATGAATGTGCCTGTAAACCTGGACTCCTCAGTATCCTGTAACCCCCTCAGACCATCTGATCAATATATCCAACACAGGCTGGAGTTTAGAACACCATGCTCTTTGTTCAGAGTCAAAAAGGTAATGCAAAGCGTCATCATTAAGTCTCCCCCCCCAAGACATGTTTGATGCCAGGTCTAATTTTTGTATGCCCTGTTAATTGTTAATTGTCACATTCCTTGCATTTGTAAAGGTACTTGGTAAAAAACCCAGATTGTGATTGTGATTCCATCACTGCTGACGGTTATATGACCTGATGTTGCAGTGGTAGATCTCACCACTAGAGGTCCCTATAGTTACTGAAGGCTTCAGTCCTCCCCTTATCAGGACGCTTTGTACAAAGATTAGAGTTTGTGTTTGTGGATGAACGTCAGTGAACAGAAGTTATTTTAGACGTCTGTTCAGAGACCATCAGAGAGGAAACAAACACTGCTCTCTGATTGGTCACACCAAGTTTAAATCTCAATATGGTAACACAGTGTCATCATCAACATTTCATAGTTTGGACATTACGCTCTACAGTTCAGATGAACCTTGAGTTACAGACGAGTTCACACATCAGGTTTAAACACATTGAACAAAGGAAGCTGTTTCAGGGCGTCTCCTCCTCCTGGTCCCTCCATGAGGGTGAACAGATGGTTAGACTCTCCAAGCTGCACACACAGTGCATGAAAGTCTTTGATGAGGTATCATGACTCTGAGTTTGAAACAGCGTCACATCATGTGTGTGTTTCAGCTCTATGTGTATCAGCTCTATGTGTTTCAGCTCTGTGTGTATCAGCTCTGTGTGTATCAGCTCTGTGTGTATCAGCTCTATGTGTATCAGCACTGTGTGTTTCAGCTCTGTGTGTCTCGGCTCTGTGTGTTTCGGCTCTGTGTGTATCGGCTCTGTGTGTCTCGGCTCTGTGTGTCACGGCTCTGTGTGTATCAGCTCTGTGTGTATCAGCTCTGTGTGTTACAGCTCTGTGTGTATCAGCTCTATGTGTTACAGCTCTGTGTGTTTCAGCTCTGTGTGTATCAGCTCTATGTGTTACAGCTCTGTGTGTTTCAGCTCTGTGTGTTTCAGCTCTATGTGTTACAGCTCTGTGTGTATCAGCTCTGTGTGTTACAGCTCTGTGTGTATCAGCTCTATGTGTTACAGCTCTGTGTGTTTCAGCTCTGTGTGTATCAGCTCTATGTGTTACAGCTCTGTGTGTATCAGCTCTATGTGTTACAGCTCTGTGTGTTTCAGCTCTGTGTGTTTCAGCTCTATGTGTTACAGCTCTGTGTGTATCAGCTCTGTGTGTTTCAGCTCTGTGTGTATCAGCACTATGTGTTTCAGCTCTGTGTGTATCAGCTCTATGTGTTACAGCTCTGTGTGTATCAGCTCTATGTGTTACAGCTCTGTGTGTTTCAGCTCTGTGTGTTTCAGCTCTATGTGTTACAGCTCTGTGTGTATCAGCTCTGTGTGTTTCAGCTCTGTGTGTATCAGCACTATGTGTTTCAGCTCTGTGTGTATCAGCTCTGTGTGTTTCAGCTCTGTGTGTATCAGCTCTATGTGTTACAGCTCTGTGTGTTTCAGTTCTATGTGTTACAGCTCTGTGTGTCTCGGCTCTGTGTGTCACGGCTCTGTGTGTCTCAGCTCTGTGTGTCTGAGCTCTATGTGTTACAGCTCTGTGTGTTTCGGTTCTGTGTGTCAGTTAATTACTGTGGTCAGGAGGGAGCGTCATCGATCGACTCTCTAATTGGTCTTTAACTGTCCGATCCCAAAGGCCCATTAAACACAGATTCTGTTTCATGTTGTGAGTTTGTTGATGTATCAAAGAGTGCGAACAAATAAACCGCAGGACCCACAATGCACTGCAAGCTGAGATGGACTGAGAGCTACTTCACATGATGCAGGGTAATGTCCTCCTCTCTCATGGTACAAAGAGGAGACCTCCTCCACTAGTCTCCTTTTGGGTTAGAACCCCACATTCCTGCCCACCCTGTTTACTGGTTTTGCAGCTTTCTGTTTGGGGCTGGTGGGACGGTTACTGAAGGCTTCAGTCCTCCCCTTATCAGGACGCTTTGTACAAAGATTAGAGTTTGTGTTTGTGGATGAACGTCAGTGAACAGAAGTTATTTTAGACGTCTGTTCAGAGACCATCAGAGAGGAAACAAACACTGCTCTCTGATTGTCACACCAAGTTTAAATCTCAATATGGTAACACAGTGTCATCATCAACATTTCATAGTTTGACATTACGCTCTACAGTTCAGATGAACCTTGAGTTACAGACGAGTTCACACATCAGGTTTAAACACATTGAACAAAGGAAGCTGTTTCAGGGCGTCTCCTCCTCCTGGTCCCTCCATGAGGGTGAACAGATGGTTAGACTCTCCAAGCTGCACACACAGTGCATGAAGTCTTTGATGGGTATCATGACTCTGAGTTAAACAGTTTCACATCATGTTGTGTTTCAGCTCATGTGTGTATCAGCTCTGTGTGTTTCAGCTCTGTGTGTATCAGCTCTT